ATTATTTGAAATCATTTGTGAACTACAAGAAGCAACTTAAAAATCATGAAGATGACAGTGATGGCAAAGTTAAAATATGATTATTAAAAGAGTAACATTCTTGTTGTAGTTATAAAAACCTTTGTTATTTTTGGATAACGCATAAGAAATGTCTGTTTTTGATGAAATTTGAATTACTATTGTCTTAAAAAGCTGATTAAAAGTAGATTCAATTAGGCAGACTCAATATCATATGCTAGTTTATATGTTTTACCTAAAGTACACAGGATCTAAGTCAAATGAAAGAGAAGAAAGTGTTAGTACCTTCATGGCATAAATTTGCATTTTGTGCCTAACTTTGTAGCTTTTTAAGCAGAAGCAACTACTTTTCTATACCTATGTTTTTCAATGAAATCTTAAATTGTTACAGCTTCATGAGGTAGTCTAGTTTAAGAAAACAACTGAAAATTAAGATTTTATCCCCAGAAATGCTGTTAGGCATGAATGTTTTCTAAATTTTCATTTATATACTATGAATTGATAAGTTCTTTGAGTTGTTAAAACAGCAGCTGAATTGGTGTCCTGCTGTGGACTGACATGGAAGATGTTAGGCTGAAACTGAATAGCATATCTACTATGTTAGTAGCTTCTCGCCAAGTTGCTAACATAAAAATCTATGATTACGAACATTTACAATCAATCTTTCGCTATCTGCAATTTAACTCTTCTAAACATCTTTAGTAACTTAGAACAAGATGATATAATTTGAACTTCAAAGAAAAATAAGCAAAGATATTTTCACTTATCTTTTTCTGTATTCCTGCATTCTGATGTGGCAGAATAGCTCAAACGTCGGGAACCTGATGACCTCACCTTCTTCTCGAACTTTGATGTTCCGCGCCGTTCGCTGCCGACCTTTTCCTTTTCTGCCCCTTGTCTAGGAATCTGGGACTCTAGCAGTAGGGTTGCGGATTCTGGAATGCCAATTTCCTTTTTAGCTCCGGTGGGGATATCCGTCCTTCAGGGTCTTTGAATCTTCTCTTGAACTTCCTAACTTCTTGGTCAAGCACGGTTGTCTCCACGGTCTTTTCTGGCTTTTCGTTCTCCACCCTGGTCCTCCTTGGGCCTCCCCTGTAGTTGTTGCTGCTGGAAACTGGTTTACGTCTAGTTTTCACCCGTCATTGAATTCCCACCTTTACTGGTCGGTGGTACTGGAGTTTTCGCAGAATCCTCAGCTCTGACTCGTTGATCTTTCGGTGCTAACTTCCTCCTTTTCCGTGCGCTTGTAGCATTACTGGAATGGATTCCCCTAATCGAAATTTGCTGGCTCTGCTTCCTTTTTTTTTTTTTTTTTTTTTTTTTTTTTTTTTTTTTTTTTTGTGTGTGTGTTGGGGAACGTCTCTCCTCATTTCCAGGATCCTGTAATAAATCCTGCAAAACTTTAAAATCATTACGGCTGTAGTAGTATGGTTTGAGTTGATCAATATTTGCAACCAGTTGTTGGCCATTTTCGGCCTTTAAATAAAACGTGGCTTCTCTTATTCTTTCCACCATGTACGGCCCTTCAAACCTGGGCTCAAACTTCGCAACTCTGTGAACTTAAAATTTAACAGTTAATAAAATTAACACAATCCTTACAACTGTGAATAGGGAATTTTTAGTGATTATACTAATTTACTGTGAATAAGGAATTTGTAATGTTCTTATTTAAGAATTAATGTTAACCTTTAAATACTGTAAACTTAGTAAGTGAACTTGTTTAAAATACTTTTTTCTGTATTTTTTTAGTATAGTTGGTTATTTTTTGAGTCTATGCCTATTTTTATTTTTTGAGTCTATTATTTTACTATAGTTGGTTATTTTTTTAATCTAGTTTCTGCCATAATGATTTTAACCACTTTGGTAGTAATTTGCCTGCATTGGTTATAAGCCTTTGTTCAGATTCAGTTTAAAGTTATTTCATGGCCCCAAAGGCTCTTTACTTGCAAATTTGTGCTGTCTTCTGATCACCTAAATCTTCTTGGAATAAATATTCAAAAAATTACATTAGGTAGAGTATATTTTTCCCTTAAAATTAATTTTTTTACATATTCTTTTACTAGTTTAAATGAAAGAAAAAGATGAGGCCAATTGAAAAGTGTGATAGCTATTTTTATTGACATAGATCCCTTCTGAATAGACAGAAAATAATTTTGTACACCTTCTGTTTTTATTTTTCTTGATGAATTCTTAAGTGTTTAATAATTCTTTTTTTATTTGACTATTTAGGGACTGGCATGGCATATGCATTTGTTGATTATGATGATAGACGAGATGCAGAGGTAAGTTTTTGATTTAGGTAATTTTTTATAAGCAATTTTTTATATTTTATGATTGAAATTGTGTAATATTTTGAATTATTGGTAGCCTGCTTGACTTACACAAATATGTATATTTTAAAAATTTTTGAAATATTTTAATCTGGAACAGTATATAAAAGTGGTTGAAAAGATAGGGAAATATAAGAATAGTACAAGAAACTAATGCTCAGTAAGGAAGTATAGTTGACATCAAACTTTGCTCATTTTTCAGAGTAGAGAAATATATTGAAGAATAGTAAAGTATACCATCTTAGTATTCTGTTTGCATTAATTCATATTTATCATATTTTTGGGGTAAAATGTTATCAAATCTGTAATTTTAACTTTGCTTTAAGTTTAATATATTTAATCATTGGTAATATAAATATGCATTGTTTTCAATCATAAAATTAAATTTTAGTAAAATAATCCTTCTCAGTAATATTTTATTAACTGATTTTATAAGTTTTAACTATTAAATTATTTCAGTTTTTAAATTTACTTCAGAAAAAGTATAAGAATTTGTATTTAAAATTTAATTAATGCTTGTTAACTGAATCCTATTTTAAAAAAGCTGTACGCTTATCTATATTATATATGTATGTAAAATTTTTGGTTAAATAATTTAACATAAGAGAGGGTAATGTTTTAAATGACTTCAAACCCAATTACTGCTTTAAAATACAATGCTTATAATTAAAATTTTTAACTGATAAGCGGATTTCAGGTGTTCCAGTTAGTAAATCATTAAATATTCGGAAGGGCATATTAAAATATAATGAAAAATCTTGAGTAATTTTTACCATTTTGTTTTATTATTGCTAGGTACTTTTATTATTCTAACAGATTATAAATGCTCTTTAATAATTTAATTTTAATTTATTAAAAAGCATTTTAAAATTAAATCATATTTGAATTACGTAGGGAATTGGACGGACGATTAATTTTTTGTTCTATTTTTTACTACAAAAAGTATTCTTTTATCTTGTCTTGTTTCATAATAATTGATTTTGACTATTCTGAGAGTCCTGTTGGAGAGAAACCAGTTCCAAACTGCTTCCACATCTCTGACCATGCCTGTTCCTTGTGCCAGACTGTTTCCATAGTCCAGAGTTCATAGCCAAAAAGAGCACCTTGCCAAGTTCAAAAATGATCCTTCCAATATGGCTCCGAAATCGTAGTCTCCCATTCCTAATGCTCTCCATGTTACCAAAGGTCTCGTGTGTAAATTCCGTTTGCCATTTGCCAGCCGGCAAGACCGAAAGCATTGCCTCTGCCTAGCATATCTCAGCCAATGCCTTGTCTGTCGATCTTACCATAAAATTCCTTTAGTCATCTATATGCCTATGAATCATCAACTCAAGCATTAATAGGTATTACATTTTGTTTCTTTTAAAGCAGCAGGTTTATTTTTATGGGTTTGATGATGGTATTTAATGTTTAAATACTTTGCTGTACAAGGCTACCAAAAATGAAATCAGTCACTTATTTATAAAGTTCATCTAATATTAACTGGAAATTTGTACTTTCAAATTATTATGCATTCATTTACAAATTGACATGTAAAATAATTTTTTGATTGCAGATTAAAATGTCATTTATATAATTACTTTTAAATGTTATCATCTGATTTGTTACTAAAGATACTTCTGTAATTCTTTGCTTTTTCATACCTAAAATTTTAAAAATTACAATATGGTGCTGTATCTAATTCATGATAAAATTAAGAATTAAAAATAAGTTGTTAATTTTATGAAAAATGAGATGATTTATGTTACTGAAACAGAAGCCTTAAAAGTAAATAAGATACATAATGATTAGTAATTAATTGAGGAAATGCAAGAAAAATTGGAGTGTTACTGAGCACTGAGTTAAAAATTGGAGTGTTACTGCTATTAACAAGAACTGTCTTGTTAATAGCAGAAATGTTGTAAAAGGAAAAATCTAAATTCTTAAAACTCACTAACAATTTGATAAAATTAGTAAAATCTGTTTTGACATTTTTGTAAAAGGTTTTCATTATTTGTAGTTGCACTAGAAATCGGATTTTGTTTTTAGGTTATTTTTGTGATTTATTACATAACTAAGTTCGTTTACTTTCCTTTATATTTGTTCGTATTTCAGCTACAGGCTGTGCTTTAAAATGATCACAGACTATATTAATTACAATAATAAGCATTTTCTGTGTGAATTTAGAGCTGTTATATACTTTTTGATAGAAAATAATCTCTTTTATGCTGTCCAAATGAGTTTCTCATCTTTTCCATATTTAAAAGAATTAACAAGTGTAAGAGCTATAAATCAAATTAAAATTATAAATTTCAAATAATACATTTAAATAAACTTCTTTATAATGTTTTATATCTAATATGTATGGCATGTATATAAACATTATGGAGTATATTTAAATGCAGTATTTATGTATATGGGAGTGCAAATAAGAAAACTGAAATTTAAATTTAAAAGTATTTTAGTTTGCATAAAGTTGCTATGGATAGAAAAGCAGTAAATGAATGAGAGTGAATATGCAGAATACAGCAGATTTTCAAAAGTATTTAATGTAATGACTAATAATATAAAACTATTTAGTAATTTGAAATTAATATTGAGCTTTTCAAAATATATATTTTTTCATGATAGTGTATATCATGCATATATTTTCAATTGCAAAAGAAAGAAAAAAAAAAAAAAAAAAAAAAAAAAAAAAAAAAATTTCAAATAAATGAAACAGACATTCATGCTTTGTGAATTCTAAAGAATGTACAGATTCATAATACATGTTCCCATGCTTTTATTTAAGATTATTTTTATACACGTTATAGAAAATAAATCACAATTTTATTTGTCTCCTTGGAAAAAAAAAAGTAAGTGAGGATACTTAATTCCAAAATTTGTAATTTTTAATAAAATTTTCACTTGACTTGACGAGCTGGTTAATAAATAAATTAGGATAATTTGAGATTAGTAACCTTTTCCCAAATCCTATTGGTATTCCTTAGTGATTTATTACTTTCTGTAATTTGTAATTTTGTAACATTTGGTTAAGGCAAGAACATTTTCAAACAAGTAATTTATAAATTCTCAAATGTTGATAATCTATTATTAACATTTTCAGGCTGTTTTATTACTTATCTAATGATCATACACAAAATTCTTTAAACTAAAAATATTTAATTTTAAACATATGCAACTAATGTTATAATTTGGCTATGTGCCAATACTGAACCCTGTCAGTCTCTTCTAGAGCACAGTGTCTTATCAGATTATGTGAATAATATGATCTCTAGTTATTCTAATTTATTAACTAACCCCCAATGCATGTTGAAATTGATTTAAAAATGCAAGTTTTGAAATTAAAATACTTCAATTTTTTTCATGTAACAGACTTTTTTTATTTTTAGTAATTATTGCAAAATTTTTAATTATAAAGTGCTGAAACATGAATATTTCCATTATTTAAGTATTTTTTTAATTGAAAATAAGAAGTAGTCAGCAAGGCGAGAAGTAAGTACGATCGTACTAAAAGTTAGAAATTAGTGCAAAGTGCTGCTAAATTTAAATGAAGTATATAAGTCAAGTGTATCCAACTCATCAGTAAGAAGACATGAATTCCACCAAGTTTTTGTGAGTTTTTTCTGTTTTCATATATATTACAAAAACTTGATGGAATTGTCTTCTTACTGTTGATTTGGATATGCTTTAATTGGAAATATATATCTATGACAAATGGCTGCAAAAATAAAGGCTGGGTAAGGATTTTCATTGGCATGGTTATTTTCTAAAGAAATTGACTTCAATTTTTTTAAAGGTAAAATTTTTATGTATTTGTGATACTGATTGTATTGAGAAAATTAAATTACTATAATTTTTTATGAAATATTTTGCAGGATGCCATAAAATATGAAAATGGTAGAGAAATTCGAGGCCAGAGCATTGTTGTGGAATGGGCTAGAGGGCCATCCTATCGCTCAGGGGTTAGTTATTTTTAATTTGTTATGAATAAGACTATTTATAAACCTAACATTTAAATATTATAAAGGAGTAATGATTTAATTAAGGAAGGTTATTTAGTATAATAATTATAATTTTGAATTATTTTAAAGAGAGAAATATGAAATATAAATAATGATGAAATTTTTAGTATTAGCCTAAAAATAAAAAAAGGTACTGAATACTGTTTTAATAAATATAAAACAAAATATGAATGTGTATGAAACTGATTAAATGTAATAATTATTTTTAACTGTAATAAATCAGATATTAGTAATGTAATTCAAAAGTTAAATTTGTAAAGAAAATGTAATTTAGAATTATCATAAAGGATTATCATAATTATGTAATGAATAATTATATTTAAAGATTAGAATATTGTGTGGTGTAAGGATGACAAACTCAATATCTCAGATGGGCCTAATAATCATTATTATATAATAATGCAAGCCACAAAGGGGGGAGCTCTTTTCAGGCTTAATGTTATGTTTAAAAAGTGGGGGTTCTTCATTAGGCTTCTCTGCCCTTCGTGGTCTCCATGCACTCAGAAGTGGTGACCCTGGACTGCAGGTTCAGCGAGGAGTGCAAAGAGGGAGTTCAAATTTTAAAACTCCTATGCAGGAGCTTTTGCAGCAGTACAAAGCTGAAGGGGAAGCATTCTTTCAAGGTGTGGTAAGTTGAAGAAGTGCTGGTAAGCTCATGTTGACTTCCTTTTGGGAAAAATGTATGAAAATTTGAAACCACCATTGAGGAAGGAACATGGACTGGTTCCATTTGCATTCTGTTACTGCACTGACAATGCGAGGCCATATACGCAAGCTGCATTAGATACCATGAAAGACCTGAAGTCCCCGTCCTCTTTAGCTTAGAAACGCTTAGTGGCTCAAGGTTTGCTGATGATGAGGAAGTCTAGGCAGCAGTGCATAACTGACTATGCAAATGCCCCAAGAATTCTTTGCACGTAGAATTGAGAAGCTTATCCAGCCCTGGTAGTGCATAAAACTTCAGGGAGATTACATTGAGAAATAAATAAGTGTTGTAGTCCATTCTCATAATAGATTCTTAAAAAAAAAAAAAAAAAAAAAAAAAAAAAAAAAAAAACTGTTTTTTGTTGAATGACCCTTGTAAATAAGAATGAAACCATTGTTTTAGAAGAATGTTATAATATTTATAATGGTAAAACTTAAATTATAAACATGAAAATTAAAGTATCATGAAATTTGTGATTTGTTATAAATGTATCAGAATAAGTAATGGTTTCATAAAAACTTATTTGAGGTTTAAGCATATGCTTCTAGCATTATGATGTGATTTGATTATTCCTCATTTGTATTATAAATATCAGCCAGTTTTCCTTAGAAATTCTTGTATGAATGTATTCTTCCACTTAAGCAGATAGTCCATGTTTACTTTGACATAGCTCAAGCAATCCAGTCTTGTGCCTACAATTTGAGATAGGCTTTTACTTGTTCCAACATGGGAAGATAGCATTCATATACCAAAGAAATTAAGTTTTTGCTAGTTTAATTATTTAGGGTCACTAGCAGTGCATTTTAAATATCCAGTTCATTTTTTTAAACATTTACAGTAGTATTTATAGTTCATTTAATAGAAAAGAGCTGTATTGCATTTAAGCATGCAGTATCATCAGAAATCAATAATTTTATGTGAAATTTTTTACATTATCATCACTGATAGTTTAAATATTGTTTGTAGTTTTAAATATATTTTAAATCGTTAGGCTATTGTTCATCGACAGCTATTTGCAGAATAAAAGTGAAAGCAGATAAGTATGTGTTACATAAACACTTCAGAGCAAAGAAAAGATTCAATGCAGAAGATAGAGCATTCCTGAATGTAGATTTTTTACCTACGGTTAATTTTTGCACAAGCAGAGTATGTCATCTAGTTGCATATATTGTGAGGAAAGACAGCTCAATAATAGACATACTGGTTGAAGAATTTTAATTTTGTAGTCTAAGTCATGGTTCAGTATATTTTTAGATGAATCCAAGCCTCAGTTATTTAGTTTACTGCTACTCTTTGACTGTTTATTTTGTTTCAGGAGGAATGAAAACACATACTTGCAATATTTTACAAAAGCTTAGCGTAAAACAAACAGCTTAGCGCAAAAGAAGCCAGCATTGCCATAGCCTGAAAAAAAAAATTGAGTATGGTTATTTGATTCTTTGTTCATTTAACCAGCGGTGACAAAAGTTAGTTTCACTGCAGTAGTAGGAAAGTCATAAGTTTTCACTGAGAATTTAAGCTTTTTAAAATTTTCTAAATCTTTGGCAGTCATATTTGAGAGTGTCACATTCCCCCATTTAAATGTTCTCTTGCATATAAAATGGTTGAAAACTGAGAGTTTGTCCTGGATTTGAATCCAGGCAAACAGACTGGCCTGTGTGGGAATTTTTCACTGGAGTAATATGAACATAATTCCCTTGAAAAATTCTCCAAGAAAGCTTTCCTCTTAAGACAAGTAGCCTTAATATGATTTGACAGAATCAGTTAATTAAACCAGCCATCACTCACTTAAAGGTATGCTTGTATTCCTGCATATAAAATTTTATTCTTAACAGGTGCTAGAAAGAATCTTAATTATGTATGAATCCTTTCTGAATTAAAGCATGTAATTATTTTTGATTTCATTGTAGCTCTTATGCTCAGACTTGTTCTTTGAAATCATTAGGGTATGAACACAAGTGGAGACCTCAGATGATTTGTTAAAGCAAATGAATTTTCTACACTGAAATGTTTTAAACAATATGGTTGAGTATTTGTCGCTGAATGAAGTTTTAAAATTGTGTAGTTTTAAACTTTAAAATATTTTTTTAGTTCTTAACATAGGAGTTAGAGTTTCAGCACCTTATATAAATTAAATATTAGAAATAGTATGTATGTTAAATAATTCTGGTCTATTTATTTTAAGTTTATCTTTTTGTAGGGTGGCTCTAATTATCAGCGAAGTTCAAGTTACAGAGTAAGTAATACAATTTTAATATTCGTACGAAGAATATTAAAAACTAAGTTTTTAAATATGTTAGTAAGTTATTTTTTGTTGGCTTTTTGTGAGGAATTATTTACTTTATGAATAAAAATATGAAAATTTTCTTTCTAAATATATTAAAGGAGATTTATTTATATTTAATTTGAAGAAATCTCATTGTATGATTGGATTTCCTGACAAATATTCTTAAAAATCTGCATTTTTTATGCATATGATAATAGCTTTGTATTTCTGTGAAAACATTAACTCTGCACAGAAGTATAATTATTTTTGAAAGCTGTGACTGGAAAATGTTTTACATTCATTAAGAACTTAATAAGTAAAATTATATATATTAATGAACCTGGTGTTCCTTATCTATTTTCTGAGGATTCTTCTTCTTTTTTTTATTTTATTTATTTATTATTATTATTATCATTTCACTAAAATTTGTTACTTTTAAACATAGGAGGAGAAAAGGATAAAGTTTAGCATAATCAGAAGATTATTTCTAATTGAAAGAAAAGTTTTGATACTAATTTAGATATAAATTTCAAGTAGTTTATTTAAAAAGGAAGTAACTGTTAAAAATAAGTTTCATGTATTTTAATATTCATAAATTAAAAAAAAAAATTGGTTTTATGTTTCTAAATTTTCTGTTGTATGGTGCTTAAACCATAAAAACTCTCTTTTATGCAATGAGAGTCATGCTGTTCAGCATTTGATTAATTAAATTAATTTTCTTTCAGAGAGAGAGCTATGGACGATCATCACGTCAGGTAAGCATTATATATATATATTATATAATAATATGAGTTGTTTTCTGAGTTTTTAATTTGTTAATGCAGTCAACCAAGTTAACTAGAGTACACAAAACTAAATTATTTCTCTGCATCCAAGCAAATGCATTCAAGAAATTTTTCCTCAGATGTAATACAGCAGAAGATATCAGCTATAGTTTTAAGTTAAGAGTTAAAAAAAAAAAAAAAAGACAGGAAAAAACCACATTTTGAATTTTTATTGGTGATTTAAGGGATTAATTGATAGCTTGAAAAAATAGGTCATCTTATAGAAAAATAAATTAAGGGCTGTTATACAAAGAATAAATTAAAACCCTCTCTGAATTAAGCAATGCAACTAATTCTGCCTTGTCATCTGCTATTTTGCATATTCTATGCAGCATACAGAGCTGCATTCGTATTTCATATCTAACATAACTCAACCTCCTCTTTTTTTTTTTTTTTTGATTGTCTCAACATAATTTAAAAAGGATGCAGAAGTGTGAAATAGCCCATAAAACATAAATATTTGATGTAATTTTCTGTATATTTTTTCAGTTAAAATTTACAAAAATATGTTATGTGCATAGTTTTATTTTTTGGAAGATTTCATCCGCTTTGATAGTTTAAGTGAGTAATTAATTATATAAACATAAACTTTCTTATCAAGCCACATTCAAGATTTTTTTAAAAACTTTATTCTTAAAATGCAATTTAAGATTTGTTGTTTATCAAACAATCTTGAATCTTAAAAGCATGCAAAGGTTAGTTTTATATACTCTTCTGCTTTTGCTTTTTACATACAATGCTGTGTAAAAATGTGAGAAAAGTCTTTTTCCTCCTATATGATTGCAAAAAGCAATTAAGAAAATAAACTAGCTATTTAATTTGGAAAATAGTATCAGCAATTATTTTGAACTTTCAGCCCCAAACATATGAGAATCAGTTTGTTCTATGAATCAATTTAATTTTAATCATAGCTTTCAGTATTTTTAGGATTCAAATTTTTCATCATATTTCTTTATATACATGTTTATTTACTTCCAAAATGTATTTTTTGAATTAATGTTAAATTTTGGTACAGTCTTTGAAATAATTCTTTTATTTAATTTTATTTTTGCAGCATCTATTGTGATGCTTTTACATTATGCACTTGTGATGCATTTTTATGTGTATGTGCAGGTGTTGTGTGTGCATAATCAAAAACGTACAGTCACTCACACATATATTACACATGCAGTAATGTGTGACAGGTCCATCATCGAAAAGTAACCCCCCCTTTTTTTTTTAAATATTGTATTGATGGCCTCCTTCTAAGTTTCTGAGGTTCTTTAGGTTAAAAAAAAAAAAAAAATCTAACATAAGTATTGGTCCCCCCTCCCAATTTTTGAAAGTATTCATTTTCTTTGTTATAGTAATTATGGTGTTTGATGAACATTTCACATTGGTGTACTAGCAATTTCCAGAGCTTTTATTATGTTTCTGTGTTTAATAGACAGTTCTGTTTAATTTGCTTTTTGGCTGTAAAAATTGTTTTATTGAAACGTTTAGAAAAATAACTAGTTAATATAACTAATATAGTTACTTTAATTGAGAGAGGGGGAGGAAAGTGTTTCCTTTATTATAGCTCAACAAAAACAGTGAATATTAAATACAAACATAACCAAACACTGTTAATAAATTTTCTTTCATTAAATTAAACTGTTACGTGCAGTGAATTGCAAATCAAAAAATGACATTTTGCATCCATTAAAAATTCTAGGAAAGAAATAAAATATATATATAAACAAGAAAATTATTATGAATAAAGTTATAAATTGCTAAAAATAATTTTTTGATAATATTGTGTAAAGATTATTCACAATAATTAAAATCTTATTACAATTTGCTACATCTATCGGCTTATGATTAACTGAATTGGAAATTTTTCCTTCCCTTTATTCCTTCTAGTTTGATGTATTGTAAAAAATATCACATGAAGGAAAAGGCAGTGTATGAAATTAAAGCAAAGTTTTCAATGAAAAGAATTTCTTTCCTATATGTAATATAGAATTAGTTTTCCTCTTAGAAAACCTTGCGTTAAATTATTACTCATAAGAAAGTCTTCATGTGATAATCTTAGAATTGAGTTTGCATCAAGAATATTAGTTGATTGTTCTTCTTTTTTATGTTAAAAAAAAGTAAACCAGGACATTTGTTTCTTGCCTCAGAATTGTTTGCAATTACAATCTTTACTAAGTATGCTGTACCTATATATTATATGGTCATAATTTTGATATGCTTTTTAATTCATTAGTTATCCTTTTATGCTCGATAAATTTATTCTTTCTTTTAATGACTGGCTAATAATTCTGTGAGCGCATAAGTAATTTTCGAAGAAAGATATCCATTAAATATTGTGTTTAATTTTGAATACTTATATTATGAATAATAGTATGTTTAAAGAGATGGGTGAGAAAATTGCATGGTTTGAATTTTCCATGCTACAATATAATTTCTTAATAGATTTTATAAATATGCCACTGTAATAGGCTTTAGTATCCCTTTATAACAGAAACAAAATCAAATTCTGTGTATTATATGCTGGGTGAGCCACCCAGATGGTATAGTGGTTAGGAAAGCGTAACTGCAATACCGAAGGGCCTGAGTTGGAATCTCGGAGAAGGCATGGTTGTTGTAACTATCCGTTCCTTCATAGGGGGCGATGATGGCGCACCTATTAGATGCCTCCATAATAAAGAGACCACCACATCTGGCCTTGTATAGATTAATGGACTGGGTTACACTGTAACTGTTCACAGTCTGCCATTAGAAAAAAAAAAATAAATAAAAATGATGGGGGGGGCAAAATTAACTGCTAATGACAGTAATTCTGTTTCATATATTCCCACTTCTGGTAATTTTTTAATTCCATTGTTGAAATTTATTAGATAGCATAATATAGTATCATTTTCAATGTCTATGCTTTGATATTTAGCTTTAATTACCAAAGACTAAATTTCCTAGTTAAAGGATGAAATGATAACATTTATTATAAAGGGAAGTGTTATGCCAGATGCAAAGTCTGTTTTAAAGCTTGTGTTTTGATTTGTAATAATTCTAATTCTTTTCTCCTGACATTGATTTCATTGTGTATACCATCAAAAGTCTTTAATCCGGACTCGTCGGGACTTCGGTGATTCCGGATTATCGGTTTTTCCGTATTATAGATCATCAATTTAAATCTGGTAAGATGGCATGCAGAAATTATAAAATTAAAAATATGAAACCGTAATTTATGAAATAAAGAGCAATTATGATCTAAAGGGTATCAAAATTTACCAAAAAGAAAGTTTAATATTTATTTGTTTACTTTATTAAACATTTCTTTCAACGCGCGCATGTGTAAAGCATACATTACGCATAGTCGAAATTAGAAAATTGCAACCAGAAAACTATTTACTGAGTATTCGTGATATTTATAATGACAAGGAATTTGATTTAAATCATATCAAAGAGGGAGTACATCAAGATGAAATACTACATTTAGTAAGGAATTACAGTCAAAAGTCGTTAATCCGGACTCGTCTGGACTTCGGCAATTCTGGATTATAGATCATCAGTTTAAATCTGGTAAGATGGCATGCAGAAATTATAAAATTAAAAATATGAAACCGTAATTTATGAAATAAAGAACAATTATGATCTAAAGGGTATCAAAATTTACAAAAAAAAAAAAAAAAAAAAAAAAGCTTAATATTTATTTTTTTACTTTATTAAACATTTCTTTCAATGTAAGTTGTTTCATTTTATTGAGGTAATACTTTCTCTTTAATTCTATAAACAGACATAATTTCTTCTTCAGTTACAAAGTTCTGCTGTTAAAGTCCTATAATTGCTGTGTCGAGAATACCGGCTAATTTGTCAATCGAAATTTTTCGTTTTCAATAAGTTCTGTATCACTTTCTTCTTTATCGAAAGCGAATTATAATGATGAGGAGTTTGATTTAAATCATATCAAAGATGGAGTACATCGAGATGAATACTACATTTAGTAAGGAATTATAAGTGAAATAAAATAAAAACATCTGCCCTGACGATAAGGATAGTGCTGACAGATTAACTTCCAATTCATTGCTCGCCGCGCTGTTTCGGCGTTTTCCTAACCGGGCCGCAGAGCAGCGTGAAATTGATAAACAAATTTCGGAATGGTTTGAGAAACAAAGGATATACCTTTATCCATTTTTTGCAGCAATTCCACTTTTTGTTTAATGGACTTCTAAACGTACTTTCGCTTTGTAGATCCTTTACATAATAGTAAATACATATCGGAAATTCAATTTGACATAAACGAAAGCTCAAGCTTACTTTTATAAAATTGCTTTAACAGTCTGCAAAAAATAATAAGCCGGATCCAATTCGAAGATTCAGGAACAATGCAATCTGCAACAGTAACTGAAATGCCTTAGAATAAGTAAAGATAATTTTAGCTTAGCTTATACTGTCTGTTATACATTAAACGCGCAAGCGTAAACTTATTACGCGCATGCGCACACGTATATTCGCAGCCGTAAAAGCGACGCATGCGCAGAAAGTTTGTAGCTTTGAGGTCCGGATTATGGGTGTCCGAATTAACGACTTTTGACTGTATAAGCCAAATTAAATAAAAACATCTGCCCTGAAGATAAGAATAGTGCTGACAGATCAACTTCCAGTTCATTGCGCGCTGCGACGTTCCCCTCCCCTGCAGAGCAGCGTGAAATTGATAAACAGATTTCGGAATGGTTAGAGAAACAAAGGATATATGCCTTTATCCATTTTTTTTCAGCAATTTTACTTTTTGTTTGATGGACATTGAAACATGCTTTCGCTTTGTGTAGATCCTTTGGCAGCTCCAGAATCAGAAATTCTTTTTGACATAATCGAAAGTTCAAGCTTACTTTTATAAAATCGCTCTAACAGTCTGCAAAAAATAATAAGCCAAATCCAATTAGAAGATTAAGAAACAACGCAGTCTGCAACATTAACTGAATTAGATAATTTTAGCTTAGCTTATACCGTCCGTTATACATGAAACGCGCATGCGCGAACACATTATGCGTTGACGCATGCGCAGAAAGTTTGTAGCTTTGAGGTCCGGAGTGTAGATCATTCTGGATTATGGACGTCCGGATTAAAGACTTTTGACTGTATATGAGTAATTATTTTTTTAATAAAAAAACTCAATACTCTTATTCAAATCCTTTTCTTTTCTGTTTTCCTTTACTTCCCCCTCCCAGCAAAAAGTTTTTTTTTTTTTTTTTTTGGTTGTTGTTGTTGTTGTTGTTGTAAATTGCAAAGGGAGGAAATTATTGAAAGAAAGTATTTATATCAACATGTTTTCACATTTTGCTTTACAATTTCATTGTTTATATGTTGTTTTTTAATAGTTTTAGATGATTTGGCATTGCTGATATTAAGATTGTTATTTAGGGGTGATTGTGGTATGGATATAGGCAGGTTTTTTTTTTTTTTTTTTTTTTTTTTTTTTTTTTTTTTAACTTCATGTGAATGAGCAAGCTTTATAGCCATTAATATGGAAGAATAATGTCTGTGTTAATTTTTATCGATGCAGAGATTTCATATATTGAGAATTTTGAGAAGGTTAGTCTGCTAAGACAGGCAGTGAAATGTTAATGTGCCTATTTATGTGCAAGTGAATTTAATTAATTTTGTTCTGTATGATGAAACTACTTTCAGTGCTTTGATGAAATAAGGAGATAATTTGCCAAATATCATTTCAGAAGTGGAAAAAAATGATGTTGGAGGAAGAAATCAAGAACTAGCAAATAGTCATTTTTCTTGCAAAAACACTAAATTTTGTAAATTTTGCAGCTTAAGTATTTAGGCTAAACATAGCAAACAGACATACCAAATTCATAAAACTGATTTAATCTGTTTTAGCTTATTTCCACAGTTCTGCAGTAGAAAGTGTATTAATTTGCATGGGTGTTATTATGACAGAATGATGAACAAACATCCTTGGAACATTAACATAAATGCTGTGAAAATCAAAATATTTATTTTTATCAGACAAAATTACATGTGAAATCCTTGGATCAGAAAATCGCTTTCAATACCCTATTTGTAAGGATTTTAGTGATAATTTATAACTAGGTAACTTAACAAAATTCTTTACATTTCATGAATTATTCTCATTTTCTGATTTCCATTACCTGTGAATGTCCCACCAGTGGTCAAGCAGTAAAATCTCTGGACAGTTGTAGTTCTGCCCTGAGTTAAATTCCAAGTGAATGGGCTGGCTTCATGGGTATTTTCATGCATGGTTTTCCCCATATGTAACATTTATAAGAGCCAGTTTCCTGTAGAAAGTCTTCCAAGAAGGCATTCCCCCTTACAGCCATTAATATGTTATCCCCCTTAGATAGCCCTAGTGTGCTTTGCTGTGATCAGCTAATGTGTATATATATCACACTAATATTCTTATTATTTAAAATTATATCATATTTTTACTGCATAGTAGTTTTCAGGATTTTTCAAATGGGGTTGCAGTTGCCCCTGGTAATTTTTGTACATTTAATGCAATTCATTAAAATTCACTTAACTATTTTAGAATAGTGAAGAATGTTATCGCTGTAGACGGACAGGACATTGGGCTCGTGATTGTCCTGAATTGGAAAGAGATAGATACTATCCTCGTTCTAGACATCGTTCTCGTACAAGATCCAGGTCAAGATCACATCGTCGCAAGTAAGAAATAAGTAACTTTGTTTTAAAACTGTTTATTTATAGGCTTACCTTAGTATTTTTTCCTCACACTAGGACAATTTTGGAAAAATGCAACAGAAAATAAAACCTTCTGTTAAATACTTATGATTGAGAATGCTAAACGAAGATCAATAAGTCAAAAGAAATTTTTAATAATTCAACTGACTCTCTTTAAAAAATTATTTTTAATGGCATCAAAAAAATTCACTGCAGTTAAGTTCATTGTTAATTCTGCAGCTTAATAAAGCTTTTGCTGTTGATTCAACCATTCTTCCTCTTTCTCCAAATCGTGTAATATTCATTATTGAGAATGTTCCGTTGGTGCTGAGGAGCCTGACATCCTGCAAATGTATTCTATTATTTGAACAAGACTTGGCAATGAAACTTTTTTTTGGGGGGGGAGGAATTTGGCTGAGTGGGCAATCAAAATTGAATTTGTGAATTATAAATTGCTTCTTCAGCTGCTATATCTTTCAGAAAATTTCTGCTGGTGTTTTTGGAATTGTGTTATGGTTTAGTATATTTTGAGTGATTTGCAATGTCTGAAAGCCTATTTAAAATTCCTGAAAGTCACAGTGTATATTTCACTTTGTCAGTACAATCACAAACTTATTTCAAAAATGGGTAATCCTTTTTTAATTCATCAGTAAACTCAATTCCTTTTTGATATTTTGGGGATTAATTTAATGCACAATACAAAGTAATTGCAAATGGTGAGCTTTCAATTTGAATTCAATAACCCTTATGAGACAGTGCACCTTTGTTTTCGGGATGGATGGATGGTAGTTGAAAGAATTGTCTCACAGGATGATGTTTTGCGTCTTCTAAGCTTTACTTTAGGAAAAAAAAAAAATGTGTTAAAATTAGCATTTAATAATCTTTTTCCTTTACTTTACATGAAAATGTACATTAAAAAAATTTTGCTTACTTTGAGAAGTAATTATCAGAAGGGCTATTCAAATTATTCTGAAGTTTTAATTGATAAAGTACATTAATAAACTTTTAAATTAATAAGACTGTTTGCAAGTAATAAGTATCAAAATCTTTAACGTGAAGTGGAAGGCAGACACTCAGTGAGCTGTCTAGCTCTTTAGAAAATGAATAATTACTCTCATTCATGTCACTGGTTGGCTCACTGACAATGTGAGTATATCATTTGTTTGTTAAATATCGTTTGCTCACCATAATAAACTGAAGGTCAAGGCTTTGCAAAATAAAAAGGGAAGTACGTAAAATATAAGCAATACAAAGTGAAATAGAACCCTACATAGTAACCCTAAAAGACCCTACATATTAGCAAAAGAAAGAATAAAAATAAAAAAATAAATAAAGGATTCGAAGGGATATCAGAAATGCGAATTTTTATATCATGTGGTGAGTTAGAAACAAGCTGTGTTTGTTTACATTTCATCTCCTGCAACAGTAGACACCCAGGTATAAATAGAAGGGCTAGTTCATTTCTTTGTTCGACATGAGCCTAATAGGGGGAATTAACCGACAGCAATTTGATGTCACTGTGCTGCAGTGCTCTGATTTTGCGCGTTTAAAACTAGTTTCATTGAGCTGCAAGGCGATTTTTCTGGAGGTCGCATATCCCAAATTAACTTTAATCATATATATTTGTTTTCTAACAATGTAGCTATTAAAAATAATTTGTATATATATAGTTTTAGTCAATTTTCCTTTTAAATTCCATGTTGTAAAGTATCACTTATGTAATATGGCTTTTCGCGCTGTAGCAGCGTGCTGTGTAACACTTGTAGAAATATGAAAAAAAGAGAGATTGTATTTTATGCTTTTGAAGAAAGAATGGATACATAAATATCGAAGACAAAATTCTATCAATGAGAAGAGCGGAAGAATTCACAGCAAATATTTTCTATGCAGTGTTTATGAAGATGATATGAAAAATTGCTTGCTTGGATAGCCAGAAAAGAAACTAATAACTCAAATGTAAATGATTTTGAAATCAAACACATGAAAGACAGTGTAAAGGCTCTGAATGCTTCAAATGTAAAGATAATGCATTGATAATTTGAAGAACATAATGATATCTTTAGAAAATTATACTAAAATATTGAAAAATAAAGAAAAGAAAAATTTTAGAATATTTGCTAAGAGACAAAGATGGTGGAAGACATCTTAGAAAGAAATTTGTATCAGAACTTCAGAAATTAATATCTCAAATAGCAAAATTTAGAAAAGAAACACACAAAGGAGAATTTGGAAAAACATCTAAAGCATATTTTTTGCAAAGACTCAAATTAATGGCTCAAATTGTCATAAAAAGACCTGTCTCCTTAACTCTCACTTTTGAAAAATTAAATAATTGTTTTAGGTACTACGAGTAAAACTGTTTTGTCAAAATTAAAATAACAATCTTGCATATATTTATTTAAATGCAATATAGATGTAAGTATAAGTTACAAAATTATTTTATGAATCGGAAAAGAAATATGCCAATGTAAAATTTACAACTAAGCCCCTCCCCCAAAAAAATCAACCTTAGATTAGCAGAAATTTTGCCATATATGCTTAAAACTATATCAATGTAAGTTTTTTTTTGATTAATTTTAAATAGCTGTTAATATAGTTATCTTAGCTGTATAGGAATTCTGTCAGTTAACATGCAGATAAAGAAATTATTGTAAAAAAAAAAAAAAATACTCATTAAAAAAAAAAAAAAAAAGAAGAAGAAAGAAACTTTGTTAAACGAGTAGCGCATTTTATCTGTTATTTTAAAATTGAGTAAGTACTACTAAATTTTTTAATGTCCAGTGTAAAATGCATACAGCAGTAGCATTGCCTCTTACAAATTATAGCTATCTTTCACTTACACAACTCATTTTAAATGCTGGTTCTTCAAAATTAAAAAGTTAATTTCTGTGCTGTGAATTCCATCTCCCCGCTCAGCATCAGCATGACTACGTCACCACTTCTCACTTGCTACTTCAAGGGGAAAAGCTCTATGATAGCCCTTCTCTTCTAAGTCCTGGGAAACACCAGTGTGTTACAGAATGTGATCCTAAAACTATATTCATTTCAAAAGTAATTGACACAGAATGCCATCTAGTGATCTTTAAAACATTCCAGGATGCACAAACATGTGACGGTCGAGGGGGTGAATAAGAAAATGCTCAGGGGTGCCAGCATGCCGGCCGGGAAATGAGTGCGTTTCTTGCTGTCATTGTATGTATGTGAAAGCCCAAAGTCTGGTAAAACCTAGCTTTTACCAAAGTGGCTTCATAAAAGACCAAAATACGCTTTAATATAATTCCATTTCATCCATATACCAAGACTGCAGTAAAACCTACCTTACTTACCAACTGCCTTCTGGTAAAAACCCAAAACAAGGGGTTTAAATCGACCTTGAACAGCCTGCACACACAAATTCCATTGCAACACTTTACTGTTTCTGCCTTTCCTTATTTGCACCATTTGTAGGCTATTTTTGAGCGAATTCAAAGACGTGTAAATGGCTACAATCTAAAAGTAGAAGCAGTGTGTTTCCATTTTAACATATTTTGCATTTTTTATTTTGCTGAAAGGAAATGAGTGATGTTATGCAGAAAAAGTTAAACGGCATTTTGCCTGAATCTGTAAAAAATAAGCACGATATCAGCTTTTTATTTAACAAACGAGAAATACTCTTTATTAAATGAAGTGAAAGAAAAACAAACAGTTCATTACAGAAGGGTGAAACACGACGATAGTCTAAATTTTGGAGGAGAGGACAAACTTATAACACCACTATCTTCAGAAAAAAGCAGAAATCCTGTATTATGTTACAAGTGATGAAGTCTTGCGATGTCATACATGACACTCATATCGCTGTTGGCTTTGGTAGAATAACCCATATGACTAAGGAACTGAATCACAAGAATGTAACAGTAGAATCTTATCATCACGTATTTGAGACTATGTAAACCATGTTAGAAAAAAACAAACTTTGAAAAATGCATTGTGATCTAGCCAGTTGTGCATAGTGAAATGAATTCTCAATGGCAAGTTGACCTAATAGATATGCAGCCCAATCTGATCATGATATGAAATTCATTTTAGTTTATCAAGGTCATCTTACGAAATTCATCCTTGTTTGAAGTTTACACAGTAAAAGATCTGATGAAATAGCAGGTCACCTTCTGGATATTTTCGCAACTCATAAAGCACAATTTCATATTTTTAATTTTATAATTTCTACATGCCATCTTACAAGATTTAAACTGATGATCTATTATCTGGAAAAATCCCAAATTCGGAATCACCGAAGTCCTGACGAATCCGGATTTCGGACTTTGTGCTGTATATTTATTAATGAATGTGGGGTTAAAATACAGAAGATGAAGACAGTAATCTCAAATCATCAGTTGATTTAGTATTGCAAGATAATAATAATACATGTGAGAAAGAATCATGCAAAACAATGGGCGTAAATACTTAAGTCCAAATTGGAGGGGGGGGAACCAGATATATACTTTGACACAATGGATGTGATTATCAGGAAAGTTCAAAATGTGAAAGTGTTCCAAGAGACAGACAGCTGAGGAATGACTTGAGAAGAAGGCAAAGATGAAGATTGCACCTAGTAAAAACTTTCCGAAACCTACTCTCAGACAAAATGTTAAAATAAAAGTACCTGATATTGATAGATAAAAAATTGATCCAAAATTCAGTACTATTACTGATACAGTTACTAGTTATTGCAGATATTAAAGATGAAGAGTTTTATGATCTTTATATTAAGTTTCGTAAATTAAAATCGTTGTACACAAGAAACCAGTTTATTTTTTGCAAAGAAATTTGTTAAACATCAAAGAAATTGGTAGAGAAAAAATAAGTGTTTTTAAAAATTATTGAAATATCTTCAGTAGTTACCAAGAACTGTGTATTTTTCTCATGTGATCTTATTTGTGAATTGGCATAAATACTGCATTTTTTTGTTTCTTGTAACTCTTTCAAAAATAATTGAAAGGCAGTTTCTT